AATTTTAAGAGTAAAAATTGTCCAATACTAAACACTATGTGGTAACAAGTACGGACACGATATTGAACCGAAAGTATCGATATAGTACTAATTTAAAGTATCGCTGTAAAAATATCGGGTACCCATTAATATCGTAATAAAAAGACTCGATATTCCAAATATCGATACAAAATTCAAAAAATGTAATCTGAATATTGGTGTCATTTTCTATTAGAGAATTAACACTTTGCACTTTAATAAGTACATCACTGAAGGCGCGGCCACATACCAACCTAAGATAGTACACATTACTGCGCTTTAAAGCACAAAATATATCCATATTGCTTTACATATAAATTCCAAAGTAAATAAGGTTATAGTACGACATAGATTTGCAGAAATAGAATGTTTAAAAACAATATTAACAACAAAACTTTCAATAGAAATTTTAGTATGGATAAATTTTTACATTTTGGAATTTGGAAAATGAACTTTAAATATTTCAAATATTACAACAAAAAGTTTTATAATTCCAATCCACAGAGTTTTCACGTTTTCATTTTATTTTCTAATACTTTGTCATACAAATGTATCATTACTTGGGTTCTGGTACTCGATTCCAAAAAATATCGTTTGAAAACTTTCAAGTAAAAAGTATCGGTATAAAATGGCAAAAATATCAATATGGTATCATATCGTATCTAAATTCGTTTCCCTAATAACAAGAATGATAGTATACAAGATTTTGCATTCCCGGCGGCGATGAGATTTCTCAAGTAAAAGTAAACAAAGCCGAATGGGGGAGAAAAGAAACTGTCAAACAGTGAATTTTCTCAATTTCTCAATATTAAATTTTTCGTCGGGAAACATGATTTATTGTGTTAAATTTAAAAAAAATATATGGTTTATAAAAAGAAATAATAAAGAAAATTTAAAAAAAACGGCGATTTTGTGAAAGTATTAGCATCTAAAGTTTTCAACGCGTTGTTTACTTTTACTTGGGGATTGTCAAAATTGGCAAAATCAAAGTTAAAAGTTTTTTCTAGAGATTCGAATTAAAAAGTTTTCAGTTAAGGTGGAACCTTGCAAGTTTTTTTTTAATTTTTGTAAAAAGTTCGATCCGAAACCTGAGACCTACCACATTTTTTCTAAATCTACCAGAATCGACCACACAGAATTTTTATTAAGTCCGATCACTGAGGTTGATTGGTGCTAAGAATATGGTTTGTATTCACGATTGAGAGAAATAGAGATTGCGCCAATCGCGGTACCGCTAATCCGCTCTTTGTGATTTTGACAGAATCAGCTGCGTGCGTGACGTCGTCTTAGTGCAATTGTTGATTGTGAGCATACAAAAAAACCAAATAACAATTTTAATATTTGTGTGTTAATATTTCTGCGTGGGTTTAAACAATTATTGAGACATTACAAAGCAAAACGAAGTGTGCAGTGGCAAAGTGTAATAGTGAAAACAAAAGGAATGCGTGCGATATAAGTTTTTTTTTCGTTTCCTACGGACGCAAACCTGGCGAAAAAGTGGAAGCAGTTCTGCCGGCGAGGAGATGCATTAAACACCAAATCGAGCTTCTACATGTTGGCCTTTCTTTGGGGAATTGTAGAAGGTACATTTCCATGGTGAATGTAGACAGTTGCTGGTCAAGAATGATAGAATAAAGTATTTTATCATTCTTGCTTGCAGGTTTAGTTTGCTGGCAATGGCATGCATACAAAAGTGGTTTCTACAGTAAATAGGTACATGAACTTCACTACCTACTTATTTTTGTTAGTACCTGATTCTTTTTAGTGCTGGTATGAGGTAATGCGCGCTGTTACGTACCTAATACAAAACAGTGCCCATATTATTATACACTTAAAAGTTCAGCTTAGATTATGTTTTACTTACATAGAATATTTGTTTCCAAAGAAGCCACACTCATGCATCCTCTCGGAAATGTACAAAAGTCATCCATTAAAAGCTGTGGAGTCAACAGCTGTGGAGTTTATGGTGGTTGGCTACCGTCCACAAATATAAATATGCACTCTGCTGGCTTTTTACAATGACGAGTCCATAAATTCACTTTGCTGCACACCTTCCTTTTGGTCTACATGAAATTGCTTACACTGTTAATACCACAGTATATACAGTAATAAACCTTTCGCACCATTTGGTCCCCGAGGAGTACTTTTGGGTTGTGTGCAACGCTTTCGTTTTGCGCGCACGGCAACACTAACTGTGGGGAATTTCGCCTCATGATTAGAAATAGTTCATTTCGAAGATAAAATATACATAATTATTTGTTATTTATGAACAAAATGTCGGTTAAGTTTAATGTAAGTTTAAATAAAAAAAAAGTCAATTGTAAGATTATTATTTTAAGTAAAACATAAATTTTGTGAATTTATCAAGCCAAATTTTAATTTCCGAATATATTTAAGTCTTTATTTAAAAAAAAAACAAGGTTTGTATAGCTATACAGACCCCAATGCCTGCCAGCGTATCTGCCCAGACAGTCCATTAAGCAAACCTAAGATTGAGTGATCTACAAGTCACAAGCGTTTTCAGCATTTAACAGTTCATTATCATGTAGGGTGTAATAAAAAAATTATACACTGAACTATGATAATCTGTACTGGTATCTATAATAATAGACAATAATTTGCAATGTTTTTACATTTTTGCAATTAGTTTCGGGCACTATTACACAGTCCTGACTTGTGCCACTCTGCCATAGTGCGGTTGTTGCTCCCTTTCATACAACAGTAATTTTGTATACAACTCTGAATCAACAAAATTCATGCTCCTTCTCATTATCACCCCTGATCAGATTTTACCCCCGAGGAGTACTCAAAAAGGTTTATTACTGTATATACTGTGGTTAATACATCCATTTTTTCATGTGCTAAAAATCGTACTTACGTAAAGGGCTACATGTCCAAAATTATTGCTACGTGTTCCTAATTAATCAATCTTTGTTTATTTATTGATTCCTGTAAAATTGGGCCATTTAATTTTAAAATTAAAACATTTTTCTGCATTGTTTACATATTTTTATATGCGTTTTGACATTTCTCTCTCGCAATTGCACCAAGATGACGTCACGCAAAAATTAATCTCTAAAATCCTCTCTCATTGGCGCAATCTTGTATTCTATCATTCTTGGTTTGTATTTGTTGTATAAGTGGTGAGTTTGTTGGAGTTGACATTTGAGAGTAAGTTAGAAGAGAGGTTAAATTGAGAGAGAGAGGTGGAATCTTTTGTGTGTTAAACTTGAAAAAGTAATCTGTGTTTAGTTGAGTATTGGTGTCGATAGTTGAGTAAGCGAATTGAGTGATAGGAGAATTAGAGATTGGTGAGTTGATGGCTTTTTCTGACGAAGCAGAGGGAGCTGTGATAGACTTTTGTTCTGGATGAGTAGTTTTGCTTGTTGGTGGCTTGTTCGCTTTGACGGCTGATGTGCCTGTGCTAATTAAAGCTGCGGAATATGCTGATGGAGTAGTGGGATTTTGAGCTTGTGATTTGTGTATGTTCCTAGCTTTGCGCATTGAACATTTTTTTGTGGTTTTTATTTTTAATATTTCTTTTTGTTGTACATCCTTTTTGCAATCTTTGGACGAGGCTGGGTGATTTTCCACGGAGTTGGCACAATAGGTACGGGTGCATTCTTGAGGAGAGTGGCAGATTGCAGTTAGTGCATGCCGATGCATTTTTGCAGCACTTCGTAGTATGTCCCAATAATTGACAATTACGGCAACGCATGGGTTTGGGTATATATTCGCTTACTTTAACTGAATGCCAAGAAATATGGATTTTTTCGGGTAGTTTGTAAAGATCGAATGAAAGCAAAACAACTCCACTGGGGTTTGCCCTACCATCAACAATTTTGGGGAATTTAAATGCCGAAAGTACACCTTGAGCATTCAACTCTTTCACGTTTTCTTCTTCTGGTATTTTGTTGAGGTATGGAGCATAAATAGTTCCTTTGGTTAAGTTGAGTGTTTCATGCGAAGTGAAATTAATTTTACAAAGCCCAACTAACTCTTTTGCTAATAAAAACTTGTCAGCTACTTGCTTATTTTGCACCAACAGTAACAGATTCCCATCACGTAATTCGGAAATTGATATGATTTCTGCGCTAATCAGGTGTAAAGAACGATGTACAGCAAAGCATGAGAAGTCTGATGTTGTCTCCAAACCAAATTTGACAAGGGATGACGGAAATTCGTTCCAAAATACAGCAGACCTTAAACTTTATTCACTCAGTCAGCAAAACAATAGTATACACTTATATATATGTATGTAGTTATATTAACTTTCATTCCTATTTTTCATTTCTTATAAATTTCAATCCCCGCTGTATTATTCTATTATTAATTTTAATTTCAAGTAGTGATTCAAATGAATTGCTTAAGATTATATTAATATAAATCTATTTGTTTTTCAGCTTTTGTTTTGTGGGATTTAGCTTTTTTCTAGCGGGTTTTTATAAAAATCTGGATTTTTAATCGAAAATAGTTGGCAGCACTGGCTCTAACATACAAAACTGTCAAGGTATCAACAAAAATATTACCGTGGTCTACTAAAGTAGGCCGCGCGTGTACTACACTGTTAATTTTTTTTTGAGAAAATATTAATTACTGATTAATTAGAATCTGACTAACCAAATTATTTAATTAATCAGGATTTTGTTTAATCAAAAAACTAACCTATTAATCGCACGTCCTTAGTTATAATTTGAAAACGTCCCTATTTTTCTGACACATAATATTGTGTACGGGGTGTTGTTTTCAGACAAATGAACATACAAGTTTATGAAAGATGATAGTAGCTTTTCGTAATATTTTGCTATAGATTTACAACGATGTATCATTTATAGAAATCGGATATTAAATCAAAATGTTATAGAAAACCCGTTTTGGCTGGTGTTACGGGGTACCGAAAAAAATTTTCCACTCCTGATATACTCTTCATAGTGAGTGCTCATAATGGCACATTGTTTGGAATATACTTTTATCGTTCACAGATTATAAATCTTTTTGTTGCTGTTATTATGGATAACTTTGACTATTTAACACGTGATTGGTCAATTCTGGGACCACATCATCTGGACGAATTTATACGCCTGTGGAGTGAATACGATCCTGATGCGAAAGGTCGCATTAAGCATTTAGACGTAGTTACACTTCTGCGAAAAATATCGCCGCCTTTGGGATTTGGGAAATTATGCCCACATCGAATGGCTTGTAAAAGACTTGTATCTATGAATATGCCACTTAACTCTGACGGAACTGTTCTTTTTAATGCTACATTATTTGCTGTTGTACGAACCTCTCTCAGAATTAAAACAGATGGAAATATTGATGACGCTAATGCGGAATTGCGTACAACAATAAAGCAGATTTGGAAACGCACTAACCCTAAGCTTTTAGATCAAGTCGTGCCGCCACCAGGAAATGATGATGAGGTTACAGTTGGAAAATTCTATGCGACGTATTTGATTCAGGATTACTTCAGACGCTTCAAAAAACGTAAGGAGCAAGAGGGTAAAGAAGGGCAATTAGAAAACGCCACAATTACACTCCAAGCAGGTTTAAGGACGTTACACGAGGTATCACCTGCACTAAAGCGAGCAATATCTGGAAATTTAGATGAATTATCTGAGGAGCCTGAGCCAATGCACAGGGTAAATATCAAACAAATACACTAATAAATTTTACCACATATTCATTATCGCTTTGAGAAATTCACGTATTTTTTTCAAATTGCACTGAGAAAAGAGTTTATTTACGTCAACTAAATATGTATGTTTCTCTCAACACATGATTTGGTTATAGTTACATTATTTGATTATAGTTACCAAATCATGTGTTGGGAGAAATATATTCACCTTGCTTTTTTGTGAGTGTACTAATTTTTATATCGCACATAACATAACCGGCTACCACTGACCTCAATTAAAATATAATAGGGGTATTCACGATCCGGTGCATACTGTCTAGCATGGTTCATAGATAGCATAAATAGCATGATTTTTGTTGTTTCATGTGTTCAAACAACAACAAAATTAGCCAATCATTCTATCTATGCACCATGCTAGACAGTATGCACTGGATCGTGAATACCCCTAATATTGATTTTGCTATACAAAAAATATGCAGGGGTTTCATATAGAAATTATGTTTTGTTATAGCCCATAGGATACGACTGTACTTATAGTTTTTTCCATCACTTCGTTTACTACTTTTTTACAAACAAATATAATAAAACCAGCGTTTGAAATTGCTTTCATTTTTCTTTTTCATTTGCTTCCACTTTGCTGTGGTTGTGAGAATTTTAAAAGCCAACAGCAAAGCGAAAGTAAAAACAAAAAAATTAAACTGTACTGTCGATTTGCTGCCAAGATAGTGGCAGCGCGACAGTAAAGCGACAGCAGTACGAAGAAAAAATGCAATTCGACTGTTGCTGTACTGTGAAGACCTTCACAGCACGAACGCAAATCAACAGCAAAAGGAATTTCGACTGTTGCTGTACTGTGAAGCAGGGATGAAAAAGTAGGTACAATTGCACCTTTTTCCGACGTTTGATGACTTAAAGGTACATTAGGTACAGTCACTAGATTTTAGGTACAATCATCTTTTGATCAGATGCATTATTAGTTTTTTTTCCTTTACCATGCTAATATATTTACTTGTAGGTACGGGAGAAGTTTCGCTTTCATTTTGAAGAATAAACAATTCTAGAGAAAAGTGGTCAAAAGGAAGACATAAAAAAAACCAGGATGTCTTCAAATTTCATATTTTTAGATGAGAACTACAGCTATTTGACCCATACTCGCTTTTTGATTTCTGGAAATATATTTAAAATGCTTTCGAAGTTACTTACGGCACATTGATTACATTCTCTAGATTTGCTGCACCTATTAAAAGGAATCGGATAAATTAGCGACTTCCTGTTGTTTTATAAAAAGTTGGATAAAGAAGTATACTTCGCAAAGTGTGTTTTTTTGTCTTTTTCGCCAATATTTTTCAGTAGTCAAAATTAGACAAAAACAATGCTTCTCCGATTCCCATTAGACAATAGTCTATAGATATAGGCTCAGTTGAAAAACCTAATCATGTTTAAAGTACATATATCTTTTGTATTCATGTTTTAAATAAAATTTATAAAAAAACAAGTAGGAGCAGCGCTGTCTTCGGCTATGCCGAAGACTTCATACCTTTCATGAACATCTGCAAATTTTACTTTGACAGCTTTTGAATGCATCTGCATACATCGATAGAGGAGTTACATACTTATATAAAAATCGCATCTAAACAATCAGAGGTATGGAACATATACCTTATATTAGCACCAATCTAAGTGATTTTCACTGCTATGTGATCGGTATGTAAACCGGTAACACAATTTATTGGGTTTAGTTTCCTACATAAAGGTGATATATCGCAAAAACTGGTATCTGAAAAATCGCTGGTATAGGAGATAAAGCTTATACAGCATAGATTTTGACGATTTTCTCAGTAGACTTTGTATTATTATTTATAAAATATCTTACGAAATTTATCGGTTTTAGCTGTTCAAATAAAGGAGTTTTACAGTAAAATGCCATATTTGAACAATCAGATGTATGGAAGATACATATATGTTGTAGTCATCCGATCCTTGTTATTTTCACTGTAAGTATTCTGTTAATTATGAGTGAAAATGGTGCGAAATTTCATGTTCCTAGCTGCATAAATGGAGGAGTTATGATAAAAGACCTTATATCTGAACAATCAGTTGTATGGGGGCTGCCGGTTATAGTGACCCGATCTTTGTTATTTTCGCTGTAAGTCTTCTGTTGATAATGAGTTAAAACAGCGCGAAATTGCATGGGCCCAGCTACATAAATGGAGGAGTTATAACGAAAAATCTCATATCTGACAATCAGTTGTATGGGAGTTATAGGTTATAGTTACCCCATCTTTTTAATTTTCACTGTAAGTTTTCTGTTGATAATTATTGAAAACAGTACGGAATTTCATGTTCCTAGCTATATAAATGGAGGAGTTATAACGAAAAATTTTATATCTGAACAATCAGTTGTATGGGAGCTATAGGTTATAGTTACTCGATCTTTGTAATTTTCACTGTAAGTATTCTGTTTTTAATGGGTGCAAGTACTGCAAAACTTCATGTTCCTAGCTGCATAAATGGAGAAGATATAACGAAAAATCTCATATCTGAACAATCAGTTGTATGGGAGCTAAATGTTATAGTGGTCCGATTCTTCCGGTTCCGACAAATGATTAATACATTATAAAAATACACCGACCTACCAAATTTTATCCGGATATCTCGAAAACTGAGAGACTAGATTGCATACAAACAGACGGACAGACAGACAGACGGATATGGCTAAATCGACCCAGCTCGACGTTCTGATCATACAAGTATACATTTTAATGGGTCTCTCTTTTTTTATTCTGGTACTTACAAACATCGGACCAAAGTTATAATACCATTTCATGCTCATGAAAGGTATAAAAACTACAAATAAATGATGTAACTTTTTTAGGTACAATCTGACTCATTCAGGTACATTTATTTTGTCTTTTATCACACAAATACATACATACATATGTATGTATGTAGATATTAACTTGCAAAGCCTCTAGTTAAATATACAACCTAAGATAACTTTTCATATCCACTATTATTATTTAGTCGAAAATCACTTAAACATATGTATGTAATTAGCTTAGCGATATATATTTCTAACAGATTGGACCTACAGTAGGGAGCAGAAATCGGTATATATAAATTTTGCGACGAGAAACTCAAATTTGAACTCAGTTTTAAGTTATCTCGTTTAGTTTAGCCGTAATGATGGAAAAAGGGAAGACCGTCTGTAGGCGGTCTTATCGGGTTAGACGAAAAATAAAAAATAGCTATTGAATAAAGATATTTTATGGAAATGCATTTTTTTTATTAAAAGGATTATCAAAACTTACATATATAAAATGCTATAAAGACTTAGAATTTAAATTAATTTTGTGTATGGAATGTCAAAAAGCAGTTTTTGTCTTGCTTGATGCACAAATTGAGGTTACATTTCATGCAATACATTTGCGTATCAGATTGTTTGCACTGCTTACACCATTCTTGCTTACACCCAGCATTGTTGGAAAATCAATGATCAAACTTATCATATCGCTCATCATCTGTCGGTATTTTAGCTCTTTTACCAACATCAGATTTAGTTACTGTCGCACCCGTTGACGGTCTTCCGAAATTTTTCTGTTTATATTTACATAAGCCAGATGCAATTGATTCACGAAATTCTGGTAACGACGGCAAATCATTTACTGAAACGTTTGCATTGATTCTCCTATGCAGTATATATGCATTTGTTATGGTCATATCAACGCGGTGATAAAATATTTTTATCATTGCGTTACGTGTTTTCATCCGTATGTGATACCTCCCCATCAATCCATCCATTAGGTCAACACCTCCCATATCCCATATGCAATTCAACTACATGCCCTGATGTTGAAGGTATGTCGTCTGCCAAAATGATACTCTCTCAACGACATCACCGAAATCGCTAATATCGATTGGAAAGGCCCCTGAATTGATAAACGCATCACTGGCATCAGCTTGATTCATTTCACTCAAGCAAGTTGAAATTTCCGTATCAAATCTATCTTGCATTACTTCCACTGAATCATCAGGACGAAAATCTGGATCTAAAAGGCTATCATCACTATCAAATTCGCGATCCTCGTCCAACTCTTATTCCGATTCAAATGAGGCCATCAACGCTTCGATTTCCTCCTCCGTCAACTTGCTCGCATTGTATCTCCTCTGGCAATTATTTTCGCAATCTCCTTGTTTTTTCCTCATGTTTAACCCTAGAGAGATAACCCTATTGGAAGTTACGGAGAAGATAACCATACGTCTGTGGGACGTATCATAGTTTTTCTTTATGGTGACAATATTTTTGGAAATATTTTTTACCTTTTTGTACTGACGTTGGTTCTTTATATATTTCCTTATTTTTTAAATGCATTTTTGGAGAAACTTTTTTTTATTATGTAAGAAAAAATCACATTTTCAGTATTCTTATAAAATAAACAAAAAAAACAAGTATTTTGTAAAAGGAACTGCCGTTTTCTTTAAAACTAAAATGAACACATTTCTTTCACTTTTTAAGCTTATTTAGATATAACATTTATGATAAATAAAAAAAAATATTAAGTATGGTCAAATCAGGTACAAGTTTTGCACACTTCATTTTTATGTTCCCCGCATATAGGCTTAGTACATTTTACACACACCATTTTAGACATACGCCTTATTTTTGAGGGGCAATAGGAACAGTATCTTTTTTTCTTTGGTTCAGGTTCTTCTCTGCCTCCATTATTGTCTCTTTCAACCTGTTGAGGCAATGCATTTTTTATAGTTCGCTTCAAAGCGTTACTCAAACTAGGGGCCTCCAAGCGCCTTTCCATCCATGGCGATGTCAACGAACTGGATAAAGTTTTCATAAAGTTTCTTCGACCAGACGGTTTTTGGTTTCGAGACTGCAGGTTGTGGCAATAAATAACGTATGAATTTACAAAAGCTATGTTGAGCAGTCCGTAAAATATTGCCATAGGCCAACGGTTAGTTTTCCTTGAGCACGACATTATTGAACACATT